AAGGACTCAGTCCATCTTCTGCAGCATTCCCAGGCCGTAGAGAGAGCTGGATCAGAAGTGGAGCAGCCGAGACTCAAACCGTTGCCCACATGGGAGCCCACATGTTCCCAATGGAAATGTTTTGGGATTAGATGGAGGTGGAGGTTGGTTGTGCTTTGTGAATGTACTAAATGCCACTGAGCTGTTCACTTTATTTTTTTTTTAATTTTTATTTATTTATTTTTAAATCAGAGTTACACAGAGAGAGGAGAGGCAGAGAGAGAGAGGTGTCTTCCATCTGCTGGTTCACTCCCCAAGTGGCCACAATGGCCAGAACTGGGCTGATCCGAAGCCAGGAGCCAGGAGCTTCTTACAGGTCTCCCACTTCTACTGCTTTCCCAGGCCATAGCAGAGAGCTGGATCGGAAGTGGAGCAGCCAGGTCTTGAACTGGCACCCATATGGGATGCCGGCACTGCAGGCCAGAGCTTTAACCCGCTACGCCACAGTGCCAGCCCCTGAGCTGTTCACTTTAAATGGTTAATTTTATGTTCTGTGGATTTCATCTCAGTTTTGAAAAGCCTAAGCTTTTGCACACTGGTGCTTGTCTGTCAGTGGCAACAGCGGCCTGATATAGATGCCAGTGTGCCAGGACATGGTTCCTGAGAAGCATGGATTGGACCCTCGGCCAGGACTGCCGCCGGCCTGTGCTTACAGCCTGTCTTTGATGAGGGGAGGGTCCTAGGCCAGGGCTTCCTACAGGGATTCCGCCACCCGGAGCCTGAGCTGTCAGCCACAAGCCTGAGGACAGCTGAGTGGGAAGCAGCAGGGGTGGGGATGAGGCGGGTCTGGGCTGCACCTGCAGCACCCAGAGGCCTCCCCGTTCAGGCAGGCGTCCCTGGCTGATTCTCACCTCACCCCCTCATTCTGCCATCCTTCTGAGCCATGTGACGGGCCACTGTCACGAACATTGTCTTCCTCCCATTTCCCCTGTCCCAGCCCACCTGGAGGGCAGAGATGACAGGCTGGACCCCATCTGATCTGCCAGGGGAGGGGTTCACCATGGGCCACTCAGAGATGCTGTCAGTGGCTGCTGACCACCTCTGTGGGGCGGGGGACTTCTTTAGTGTGACTCGCCCAGCAATTCGAAGGGCAAGAGAGGCCCAGTGCACTCTGGAAATCTTTTTGTTGATGAATGAGGTGGAGAAAGGTTTTTGCTTTCATTTTTCTTGCTTCCCTCCCACGCCGCCCCCATCTGCCCAAGCGTTGGGAGGCCCGCCCTGGCTCAGGATGCTGGCAGCTCCGGGCCGGGAGGGCTGTGTCTGTGCAGCAGGGGTTTGCAGGCAGGAGGCTCCGTCCAGTGGGGTTGGGGAGCGGCTGCTTCCTTTTGTGCCTCCAGCCCCAGAGCTGCCAGCAAGCCCTGAGTACTGCCGATTTTCTGAGAAGTGAGTAGAGCTGGAGCCTGGGCCCACGTATGCAGCAGTTCAGGGGACTTTGTGGAGGGCCTGCAACAGAGAGGGGATCTGCATGACTTGAGGATCTGCCTTAGACCGTTGCCCTCAAAGACCCACGGCCCCCTCCTAGCACCCAGAGAACCACCACAGCAGATGGCTTTCCGTAGATACTGGAGGAATTGGAGCTCAGAGGTCTCCTAAGGCAGACACCAGTGACAGACACAGGTGAAGCCTCCGGAGTCCCATCCCAGCCCACGGGGTAAATACAGCCCCTGCCGAGGGCAGAGCCAATGGGAAGCCCACTGGGGTTACCCGGCACACAGGCTGAGAGCCAGTCTGTGTTCTGTCCCACTGGCCGCAGAGAGTAGCACCGGCTTCTGTTCTGGTGGCTCTTTGCTCTCAGTAGGTGCCTTTGCCCACACTTGCCTTGTGGACTTAAAGGCAGGGGTGAGAGAGAACCAACCTGCCTCCCTGCCTCCCTCCCTCCCCTCCCCTTCCCTCCCCTCCCCTCCTTTCTTCCCTCCCCTCCTGCCTCCCTCGCTTCCTTCCTTCCGTCTCAGAAGTTCTGTGTTCTGAATTCCAGGAGACTCAGTGTCTGGCCCATGACAGTTGGTGCTTGCTTGAGGCCTCTGGGACCATCCCGCCTGTGAAATGGAGGCTTGGCATCCACGTATCCCAGGGGCTGCCCACTCACACAGAGTTCCTGGTGTCACTGATAGCACTTTAGTCAATTTGTGTTTCTGTTCTTTTTAAAATGAAGTTGCCTCTCATGAGGTCTGACTGTCATGTGGGGGCCTCAGCTGCTGCCCCAGGAGAGCCAGGGGGCCTTCCATACTGGGCTTCCTGGTTAGAACTTGGGAGACAGGGCCCAGGGAATAACTACTTCATTTTACAAGTTCCTCCTTCCCAGGGCATGTTCATGGCATCATATGTGTGAACATGTGTGTACCTCTGGCCTCCCCATTGGGCCACACTTCTCAGTGGGTGGGGATGAATTCCCAGATTATGCCTAGGCCTCAGAGTCCAATAGTCATGCTTTCTGAGGAGGTTAAAGTAGTGTAAGGGTGTGGGCGTTCCAGGTAGCTGTTGAGACACAGCATCCCATGTCAGAGTGCCTGGGTTGGGTACCAAGCTCAGGCTTCTGACTCCAGCTTCCTGCCAGTGCAGATCCTGGGAGGAGCTGGTGATGGCTGAAGTGGTTGGGTTCCTGCTACCCACATGAGAAATCTGGATTGAGTTCCCAGCTTTTTCTAGCCCCAGCCATTGTGGGTGTTTGAGGAGTGAACTAGTGGATAGGTGCTTTCTCTGTCCTATGTCTCTTTCTACCTGTCAAATAAATAAAAACAATTTAAAAATAATGGTTCATGGATACTGCCCAGACATTGTCTGGAACCTTGAAAATCCAGTGTGCACCTCCAGTCTCCATGATCTGCAAATGGGTATAGCTCAGGGGTGCTGGGCAGACAGGAAGCCCTGCAGCTGGTGAGACTCCCAGCTCCTCTTTCACAGGGCCATCAGCAGGATGCTTAAAAAAGTTTTGTCTGTCCTATGTCTCTGTCTTTCTACCTGTCAAATGAATAAAAACAACACTCGCCTTGTGGACTTAAAGGCAGGGGTGAGGGAGAACCAACCTGCCTCCCTCCCCTCCCCTCCCCTCCCCTCCCCTCCTTCCTTCCTTCCCTCCCCTCCTGCCTCCCTCCCCTCCTTCCTTCCGTCTCAGAAGTTCTGTGTTCTGAATTCCAGGAGACTCAGTGTCTACTGTAGAACATAAAGTTCTTGTGAGAATTAGAGATAATGACTGCAAAATCCATGGCATGAAAGAGGTGGCGCTGTAGGTGTTTCCTGCAGGAGGCACCAGGACGGTGACAGAGGGCTCTGTATCCTGTGGATCCCCTGTGATTCATGTACTCTGGTTTCTCCTGTTCTCCTTTCTTGCCCAGTATTGATCCTTCAGAAGGTGGAGAATGGAGACCTGAGCAACAAGATTCTGAAGATCACTGATTTTGGCTTGGCCCGGGAATGGCACCGAACCACGAAGATGAGCGCGGCAGGGACCTACGCTTGGATGGCTCCGGAAGTCATTCGAGCCTCCATGTTTTCCAAAGGCAGTGACGTGTGGAGGTAAGGGCTGCAGGCACAGGGGTGATGTTCCCTGCATCTGTTTTGGCTGCATGCAAGCTTCAGAACTCGAAGAATTGAGGCTGCACTAAGTGACTCCTTTAGAACAGTCAGTGCCAACTCCCACATTGCCAGGGGACAGTTTCATCTACCAGAAAATTCCCTCCAGTGCTGAGGCGGGTACAGTATGTTGTGTCGGTGTCTGCTCCCTAGGGAAGGCCGGTGGATTCAGGGACGATGTGTACTCCCATCTTTGGCTGCAGGATAATGAGGGCACTCATCAAGAATGTCCTGGCTTATTTGGCCGTGTTCTGTTACTGTTAGACTTGGGGAGGAGGTTAACCCAGGGCACTTCCTGTGAGCTCTTGAGCTGAGGAGTATTCTTTGTGCTATCTTTTTTTCTTGGTAGTCTACAGGAAAGGTTATCCACTTAGGTATTCTTTTAATCAAGGCTCTGTCTTTGGACATTGGTCTGGAAATGGGCAAAAGTGGGTCCCAAGCTTGCATCAAGAACTGCGGAGCCACAGACTAGAAATGATCCAGCTGTCATCCTAGCTGATGTCAGCCTAGAAGGTCACAAGGACCTGTCCCCACTGAGGGGATGAGAAGCTGAAGAGTACGCATCCTCATGGATGTGGAACCACAGCATCACTTGGTATACAAAAGACAAGACTTTACATCACCGTTGTATGTTGGTGCATGAGGTTACATGTGTGCATATGTTTTTAGACATAGCTTTACTGAGATACTATTCATACACAATAAAGTTCACTGCTTACACACATTTGTGTAAGTCAGTCATTGTGATCACATTGCTACTGATTTGCTAGAGCTGTTGTCACAAATCACCATAAGCCTAAAGCAAGAGATTTATTTTTTGTAGTTCTGGACACCAGAAGTGTTGACAGGGACACAGTCTCCAGACACTGTAGGGGAGGTTCTTTTCCAAGTGTAGATCTAGGTATTTGGATGTGGACACACATGTTTAAGGCTATGACTCAACCCACTACAACCAGTATCTATTTCCAGGTCCTTTTTATCACCCAAAAACAGAAATCTCATACCAACTTCCCTGGTTCCCCAATCCCTTCTACTACTATTTCCTTGTTTCCAAACACTAGTTTACCTCTGTCTTTTTGGATTTTCCTGTTCTGGATATTTCACGTAAATGGAATCATGCAATATTGAGTTGCTTATGACTGACTTCTTTGATTTAGCATAATATTTTCAAGGTTCATCCATGTTGTAGCTAACATCAGAGTTTCATTCTTTTATTGCTTAGCCATGTCATTGCATAGACAGACAGCGTTTGTCCATTCATCAGTTTATGAACACTGAGTTGTTTTCACTTTTTGTCTGTTATAAATAATGCCACTGTGCACATAAGGTTTTGTGTCATATATTTTCAGTTCTCTTGGGTATAAGCCTGGGAGTTGAATTGCTGAGTCATATTGTAAATCTGTGTTTTAACTGTTTTAGGCACCAAACATTTTCATCACAGTGGTAACATTTTGCATTCCCATTAGCAATGAACCACGGTTCCAATTTATCTACATCTTTTCAACACTTAATATTTTTTTAATTATAACCGTCTGTGGGTATGCAGTGGGATATCTTTGTGGTTGTGGTTTGCATTTCTCTAATGACTAATTATGTTGATTATCTCTTTGTGTTTTTATTAGCCATTTGTATATCTTCTCTGCAGAAATATCTATTCAAATCCTTTGCCAACTCAGTGTTTGGGTTCCTTGTCATTTTTTTTTTTTTTTTTTTTAAGATTTATTTGAAAGGCAGAGTTGCAGAGGCAGGGAGAGAGAGAGAGGTAAAGGTAGGTCTTCCATCTGCTGGTTCACTCCCCAGTGGCCGCAATGGCTGGAGCTGGGCTGATCCAAACCCAGGGGCCAGAAGCTTCATCTGGTTCTCCCATGCGGATGCAGAGACTCAAGGACTTGGGCCATCTTCTACTGCTTTCTCAGGCCATAGCAGAGAACTGGATTGGAAGTGGAGCAGCCGGGACTCGAACCAGCATCCATATGGGATGCCAGCACCGCAGGCCAGGCCTTTTCCCACCATGCCACAGTCCTGGCCCCTCCTTTTTCTTTTTAATTTTGAGTTGAAAGAGTTCTTTATATATTCAGGATACAGTTTCTTTATCACATATTTAATTTGCATTTTTGTCATTCTGTTGTCTTTTTACTTTTCTGACGGTGTTTTTTTTTTTTTTTTAAGATTTATTTATTTATTTGAAAGTCAGAGTTACACAGAGAAAAGGAGAGGCAGAGAGAGAAAAGTCTTCCATCCATTGGTTCACTCCCCAGTTGGCCACAATGGCCAGAGCTATGTCGATCCGAAGCAGGAGCCAGGAGCTTCTTCTGGGTCTCCCTATGGGTGCAGGGGCCCAAGGACTTGTGCATCTTCTACTGCTTTCTCAGGCCATAGCAGAGAGCTGGATCAGAAGAGGAGCAGTCAGGACTCGAACTGGCACCCATATGGGATGCTGGCACTATAGGCAGTGACTTTACCCGCTATGCCACAGTGCCAGCCCCTCTGATGGTGTTTTGAAACAGACATTTTTTATTTTGATCAAGTCCAGTTTCTATTTCTTCTTTTCTTGTTGTTTTTGGTATCATACTCAAATCTAAAACTTACAACTATGTTTTCCTCTAAGAATTTTGTAATCTTAGCTTTTATATTTCAGTCTTTGGCCCATGGTGAATATATTTCTATATGTGGTTTGAGGTAGGAGTCCAACTTTGTTATTTTCCATGTGATTATTCAGTTGTCACAGCAGTGCTTATTGAAAAGACTGCTCTTCTCTCATTGAGTTGTCATGTCATCCTTTTAAAAAATGTATTTACAAGAGATGTAAGGGTTTATTTCTGGATTTTCAGGCCTGCTCCTTTAACCCACATGTCTATCCTCAGGCCATTCCACCCTTTCTTGACTACTGTAGTTTCGTAGTAAGTGGTGTTCTTCTTCTTTTTCAAGATTATTTTGGCCATCTTGAGTTTATTACATTTACTTACGATCCTTTTGTCAATTTTTCCAAAATAAGCAACTGAGTTTTTAATAGGAATTGTGTTAAATCTGTGTGTTACTTTGGGGACCTTTAACATCTAGTAAGTCTTCCAACCTGTGAATATAAGACATCTTTCCATTTATTTAAGCTTCTTTAATTTCTCTCAGTGATGTTTTGTAGCTCTGTATGTTAATCTTATTTCACCATACATTAACTACCAGATGAAGTAGCTAATGGGAAAAAATAAGTTTTCGTTTCCTTAAAAAGTCTGACCCAATCTCATCAGGTTGAGCTGTATACTGACATTTAATGTTTTGATCTGTAAAAATGGCAGTTATATATTTTTGATTTTAATAGTTTCTTTTCTTGACCATTTGTTAAGGAAGTCAATTAGTATATAAATTAAGCTAAGCTACTATTACCAAGAGACCTTCAGATATGGAGGCTTAAATAAGATGGAAGCATTCTTTTCTTCCCAGGTATGGTCCAGCCAGCCCTGGCTGGCCGGGCATCTGTGTTGCATAGGGTCATCCAGGAACCCAGGTTCCCTCAGTGCGTTGGGTAAAATGGGGTGACTGTTACTTCTGTATTAGTCTTCAGAAAAAGAAGAGACCTTGTTCGTGGCAAGCAGCTTGTCTTTAATGTGAAGACAATCCAGAAATTGCACATGTCTCTGCACACCCATTGTCTGCACTGGTTATGTGGGCACACCTGGCTCCAGAGAGGCAGGCGTCCGTAGGCTGTAGCAGGACAGCTTTGTGCCCAGCCAACACCCTTCTTATGGAAGAGGGGGAGAATGCATGTGGGGAGAAGTCTGCCATTTGCCACTTCTAGCATTCCCTTAAGCTTTATTCGGGGTAAACCATGATGTTTCCAGAATGTGTTCCTGCTTGGCCTCTTCCCCCAGCCTGACCCTGACCTCGCTCAGATCTTGTCACACTGGAGGTTTCTGCTGGTGATTATTTGGACAGGATCGCCTAGGCTCCCAGACACATGCTTAGGGAGAGGGAAAGCATGAATGCCCAACACAGCATCTTCTCACCTTGACAGACGTGGGGAGGATGTGGTCATTGCAGGGGGTGTTTGTCCTTCATAGGAGGAGTAAGGTGGGACCTTTAGCTTTAACCCAGAGTGCCTTTGTTGTAAGACTCATCTCCAAGTCTTGCCCTGCACCTGCCCATCCTGCAAGCTTGTGAGAGGTGCCTCATGAAATTATTCTACTCTCGGGGCCAGCGCTGTGTTATAGTGGATTAATGCCCAGGCCTGCAGCATCGGCATCTCAGATGGGCACCAGTTCAAGTCCTGGCTGCTCCACTTCCAATTCAGCTCCCTGCTAATGTGCCTGGGAAAGCAGCAGAGTGTAGCCCAAATCCTTAGGCCCCTGCACCCACATGGGAGACCTGGAAGAAGCTCCTGGCTCCTGGCTTCAGATTGGCTCAGCTCTGGCCATTGTGGCCACTTGGGGAGTGAACCAGTGGGTAGAAGACCTCTCTCTCTCTCTCTGTCTCTGTCTCTGTCTCTACCTCTCTCTCTAACTCTGTCTTTAAAATAAATAAAATAAATCTTTAAAAAAATTTTTAAAGGAAAGAAATTATTCTCTTTAAAGGGAATAGCTTGTAGGAAAACCCCAAATCAGTTGCTGTTGTCGTATGGGTGATGCTTCTCCAAGGACACAAGGCTGATGAGTGATGAAGTAGTCATTTGACTCAAGTCTGTTTAAATCTTTCTTAGGTAGCATTTCTCCCTGCTTGAGCAGCAGCTGTCACATTTCTCTTAGCTGTAGAACCCTTCAAATGGAGCAGAATGCAGATGAGCAAAGGAGTAAGCCAGGTAAGAGCAGAGCTGGCCTCGGGGAAGCCCCCTCTGCCAGGAGGCCGAGACATCTCCAAGGACACAACCAGGACACATTTGGTTCTTTGAGACCCCCTACTGTCTGTGCAAGTTGCTGGGGCTCAGACACCAGGCATCTAGGTCTAGAGGGAAGAAAGGGGACCTTTGTGTTCTCCAAGGTGGAGGTGCACCAATGCCAAGAGCAAGTGACTGAGGATGGGAAGCTGTCACCTGGAATCTGGTCAGCAGTGTGGAGGCATCTGGGAGGTCACTTGGTTGAAACTGCCCAGCATGGCTACTGCCTGAAAGGTTTGGCAGGAAGTGCACCAGTGTAATTCTTGATGGTGTTTGAGGATTATTCTAGAGCAGCCAGCATAGCCCTCAAAACCATCTGACCATGGGTTCATTCCCATACACACCCCGCGTCGAACCTATCTGTGAGTGCCTGCTATGTACCCTAGCCTGGGCCAGGCCCTGAGAATGCAAAGGCTAAAAACTACTGTGCCGGCCTTTAGGAGCCCATAGGCCATGAACAGGCAACAGTAACCCAGGGCAGCCCAGACAAGGGCTGAAGAACCCCTGGAGTGTCAGGGGAGACTTCCCAGAGTGTTCAGGCTTGTTCCCAGCAGCCTGTGATCCAAATCCAGCTACTTGTCTAACCAAGTCAAGAGATAAGTGTTTGGATACCCCAGGTGAAAAGCCATTGTCCAAGGTGACTGGCCAGGGCCCATCCACAGCCTCCCGGTGCCCTGACATACTGCTCAGCGCATTGCTCATCTTTGGGGCCAGGCCCAACTGCAGGGGAGCCTTTGAGGGAAGGCTCGTGCTCTGCAGCCTTTGTCTTTGTATATGCTGACCCCGTCTCTGGAGCACTGACCCTCTTCCCTCACTTAGCAGCCTGCATGTAGTGCACGGGCCAGTCTCTTCTGTCCCTGTCCTGCCCCCGTGCATCCTCATGGGATCTCTCTCATGACCCATTACCGTGTATTCCATCCCACTCACTAATCTTGTAATGGATAAGATCTGTCTTCCAGTCTGTACCCCAGTGCTTGGCATTGAGCTTGAAGCAAAGTAAATATTTAGCAGATGTTTTAAATGAATGAATGGTAGGACATTTAAGTTGGAGTTTGAAGGAAGATTAGAGTCTACCAGACAAAGAAATAAAGATATTCTAGAGAGAAGGAATGGAAAATTGGTCCAGGGTCCACCATGCAGTGCTCTGTGCATGTACTGAGTCTGTGCAACTGTACCTATCTAGAGCTTGCTTTCTTTGTCTACAAAACAATACTTATATCATAGGCTTGTTGTAGGGGTTCAAGTTGGTGTTTGTAAAGTGCTTTAGCAATCTGGTCATACAAGGTGTTGTGATACATTGGCAGGTTTTTTAGTATTTTTCATTAACATGAACTTTGTTTCTGGCTGTAAACTAATGATGAGTATTATAAGAAATTAGAGGTTGGTATTGAAAAAGGAAAGGCATTCTTCTGACTTGATAACCTTATTGGTTTTTTTCTTCCTTTTTTTTTTAACCCCCTTACTCTTGGAAGGATTGAATGCTACTTATTTTGACTGGTTTTGATTGTGAATTCATAAAATAATTTTTTCATTAAGCTTTGACCCACAGGACATGAGAAAAGAAATCCTTCATGTGGACCTGAAAGGCAGGAAGGGTACACTGAAGTTTTTGCTGCTGCCCCACCAATGCCATCCACCCTTGGGAAACTCTCCCTTTGAATTAGGCACAGGTCTCTGCTAAGGACCCACTCACACCGATCCGGATGCAGGAGTCTATTCAGCTAAGTGAGCATTTGGAGAAAACTTTTGCAGGAGCAAAATCTGTTGAGTGGTCAGCTCTGCTTTTCCAAAGCTTAAAAAAAAAAAAAAAAAAAAAAAAACCAGCAGGGTATCTGTGACAAAAGCTGAAGTTTTCTTAAGACATAAAGCTTTATGACTGGGAGGCTACCTCCTCTCCCAGCTTACTTCATTAACTACAGCAGCAGCAGCAGCAGTGGAACTGTGACTGGGGCCAGTGGTGTGGTGCAGCAGCATCCAATATGAGCACTAGTTAGAGTCCCTGATGCTCCACTTCCAATCCAGCTCCCTGCTAATGCACCTGGGAAAGCAGTGGAGGATGGCCCAAGTACATGGGCCCCTGCCGCCCATGTGGATGATCCCGATGGAGTTCCAGGCTCTTGGTTTTGGCCTGGCCCATCCTGGCCACTTGGAGAGTGAACCAGTGCATGTAAGATTTCTCTCTCTGTAACTCTGCCTTTCAGAAAAATCGTTAAATCTTAAAAAAAAAAAAAAAAAAATAGTTGTGGTCATTGAGCATTTACTTAAAACAGTATAGTGTTTTTTAAATTTCATGACAGCTTTGGGAGATTGGTGGTGTCATTTGTACTTTACAGGTGATGAACTGGAGGCTTAGAGAGCTATAGTAACTTGTCCAAGGTCACATAGCTGAGGAATGGTGGAAGACTTTGAAAACAAGTGTGCTTCACCCCAGGGGTTTTGCTGGTAGCTCCTAGTTTCTGCGGCTTCCCTTTTGTGTTGAGCACGTTATCGTGTCCATTTTGCTAGTCTGCCTGTGTGTCGGTGAGAACATGGGGTGCTCAGAGGAGCTCCCACTTCTGTGAGGTGGTGCCCATGGGTTTCCTACATAAAGCTGTCTCCTTCCTTCCCTTAGCTACGGGGTGCTGCTTTGGGAGTTGCTGACCGGCGAGGTGCCCTTCCGAGGCATCGATGGTTTGGCTGTAGCTTATGGAGTGGCCATGAACAAACTCGCCCTTCCTATTCCTTCCACGTGCCCAGAACCTTTCGCCAAACTCATGGAGGGTGAGTAATCACTGGCCTGACAAACCTGGAGACAGCCACCTTCCTACAGCCACTTGTTTTCAGCCAGTGCCACAAGATCTGTTACTGAAAGAGGGGGCGAAATACGGATCACCCAGGGGGGAAGGCTGTGGGCTGTTAGGGCTACTGCAGTATACTGCACCCCTGCTGCTGCAGGCACTTCCGCCCTTCTCCAGGGACTGTGACGTTAGCTCAGTGACCAAAGCCTGCCGACCAGCACTTCAGTCTGTTGTTACTTAGTACAAACCTAGAATATAGAACAGCTTTTATTCCAGGACTGCTGAATGTCTCACATATAGAAATGAAGAACATTAGAGAAGAAAGGAACGCTCAAAGTTTTCTAGCAGGAGGACACTGGATGCAGTACTTAAGACACTGTTGAAGATGCCCACACCCTACATTGCAGTCCCAGTTCCAGCTTTGATTCCAGCTTCCCGCTAGTGTCTACGCTGAGAGGCAGTGGTGACGGCTCAAGTAGTTGTGTCCGTACCACCCACATGGAAGGCCTGGGAGGACTTCAGCCTGGCCCAACCTCAGCGGTTGCAGGCATCTGGGGAGTGAACCAGCAGATAGGAGCTCTCTATCTGTCCCTCTGCTTCTCAAATAAATATATATTTACATAAATAAATAGATAAATATAAGTAGTCAAACCCCACAATTTTTTAAAAAGATTTATTTTTATTTGAAAGAGTTACAGCAAGAGAGGGAGAGACAGAGACAGGAGAGAGATCTTCCATCTGCTGGTTCACTCCCCAAATAATCCCAGTGACCAGGGCTGGGCCAGGCCAAAGCCAGGAACCAGGAGCTTTATCTGCGTCTCCCACGTGGGTGCAGGAACCCAAGCACCTGTGCCATCCTCCGCTGCTTTCCCAGATGCAGGCACATCAGCAGGGAGTTGGATTGGAAGTGGAGCAGCCAAGACTTGAACTGGCTCCCATAGGGGATACTGGCACAGCAGACAGCGGCATAACCCTCAAGCCCTGTAATTTTGTAGGTGAGAATCCAAAGCCCAGAGAAGTTAAATGGACAGGTGGCGACCCCACTGGTTACTGTCTGAGCTGGGAGTAGAAAGAACTTACTTTTCCTTACTTCTGCTTTAATGCTTTTATCTTTTGCCTCATTATCCCATTGAAGTGTGAAAGGGTAGCCCATTGATTCATGGGAGATAGAGGCCAGGGTGTGGTCAGGGCTCGGCATCGTGCAGTGACGTGGTGCACTGAGGTAGTGGTCCTTCACCTGAGTACTGCCCTGGACCTGTTCTTAGCTTAATGCACAGTCAGAACCTGCCCAGTGCAGAATTGCTGTTTCTTCCCCCGTTTCACTCCTTATGACCATGCTGGTAGGCAGCTCGGGTTGTAACCTGAGCCTTACTTGGGGTTATTTAAATGTCAGTCTCTTTCTGGGAGGAGAAAGGAGAGGGAATTCTGTGGTAATTGAGTTCCCATAAGGTCCTAAGTCTTGTGTTTGCCTCTGCCCGTTCCTGCTTTCTTCTTCCATCTGTGTTCCGTTCAGACTGCTGGAACCCCGACCCCCATTCACGACCGTCTTTCACAAATATCCTGGACCAGCTAACTACCATAGAGGAGTCTGGTTTCTTTGAAATGCCCAAGGACTCCTTCCACTGCCTGCAGGATGACTGGAAACATGAGATTCAGGAGATGTTCGACCAACTCAGGGCCAAAGAGAAGGTAAGAAGAAAGAGAAAGCACGCACTGAGTCAGCCAGCTCCTGCCGGGAGCTCTGGGCCAAGCCGACCCAGCTCCCTGGTTCTGACAGGACCTGAAGTGTCCAAACCAGAGGAGGAGCACCGTTGGGTGGTGACCGGTGGGGCATCCCCCCCCACCAGCTGGTAACACGAGCAGGGCTACGTAGAGGAAGGTCCACTCAGTACTGGGATAACTTCAGCATCGAGAACCAGAGCATCTGTTGGTGTAGGAACAAGAGTATGGGGCAGAAGCACTATGCGTCTGAAATTCTTTGGCATTTTGCATGTTTTATGGAAAGGCCCTGAGCTGAAACCAACCATGGGAGACAACTGCTAGCCGACTGGTGATCTGCTTTTCTGTTCCAGAGGCCATTGCCGCAGCGCCCCCCGCCCTGGCAGTCCGTGTCCAGTCGCAGGCCAACTCTGAGCACATCTGTGGCCTGTACTCCAGGGGCGGCGCTACCTCTAAGGGGACAGAGAGGGCCTTAAGGGAGGGTCACATAGACTTAGTGCATTCTTTTCAACTGTGACCTGAAAATATTTATTGGAAAATTCCAGAGAAATGATTCATAAATTTAAAATAACTTTTATTATAGTTACTATTTTAATTGTACTAATAATTAATTAATGATGTAATCAATTAATTGCAATAATAAAATATATATTTAAATATTACATTAAATATAATAGTATATAATATATTAAAATAATTAATAAATCAATTAAAATAAATATAAAATAATAAATGTGTTATATATAGTATAATGAAATAAATATAATATATTAAATATTTAAAATAAATGTAATAATATGAATAATTAATTGTAATTATAAAATATTTTATTATCAGTTACAGTTAATCTCTTATTGTCCCTCATTAATAAATTAAATTTTATCATAGGTATGTGTATGAGGGAACTTCAAAAATTTGTGGGAAAATAGAACTGCAAGACATGTTTATTCTGGTGTAAAAAATTGTGAAATCATATATACAAGGGGAGTCTTCAATTCATGGTAAATGTGCATTACGAGAAAATTATACAAGGATTTCAAATTTTAGGGGCATCAAATTAAATTTTTAATTCCATTTCCCCACAAACTTTTGAAGGGAAAAAGCACAGTGGATATGGGGTTTGGTACTCTCCACATTTCAGGCCCCCACAGGGGGTCTTGGAAAGAATCCCTCACAGATAAGGGGTGAGGGTGGGAGGGAGAAATCACACCCGTTCTCATAATAGGTGACCTTTGTCAAGCGTGCACTCCGTGCCATACTCCTAATTTAGATGCATTGTGATAAGGTAAAAAGTGCCATATAGCTGTGATGTTGGTGCAGTTACCTGTGTATCACACACGGTGCCCACGACGCTCCCTCAGCTGCTGTGTCTAGGGCTTGCCCTGTGCTGTTGCTTCTCCGAGCTTCCTTCCCCCACCATGTGAGGCAGTCAGGTGTCAGGTGTTGAGCCCCCTCTCTCTGCTGGGTGTCATGGGAGACCCTGGGCCTCTGGGTGCACCAGCCCGAGCTTTCGGTGCCCAGCACACACCCTGACAGCCCACCCGCCGTGCAGGAGCTGCGCACCTGGGAGGAGGAGCTGACGCGGGCTGCGCTGCAGCAGAAGAACCAGGAGGAGGTGCTGCGGCGGCGCGAGCAGGAGCTGGCCGAGCGGGAGATCGACATCCTGGAGCGTGAGCTCAACATCATCATCCACCAGCTGTGCCAGGAGAAGCCCCGCGTGAAGAAACGCAAGGGCAAGTTCAGGAAGAGCCGGCTCAAGCTCAAGGACGGCAACCGCATCAGCCTCCCCTCCGGTCAGTGGCCAGGGTCCCACAGTGGGGCCCGCTGTGAGTGGGAAGAGTGGGGAGTGCAGCCTGGGAAGGGATGGTGCCCCGGGCGGCTCACACAGGCTCATCTCCCTGCCAGCAAACCTGAAGAAGGAAGCGTAGGACTTGGGGCAGTTCCAGGGGTCCTGGGGTGTGTGTGTCACAGTGAGACAGAAGTCGTCTCAGAGTTTGATTGAATCAGTAGTCCTGTGGGTACAGCTGAGAGCAGGTCCCGGGGCTGAGACTTTGCATGGTAACATGTACCTAGCCTCTGAGACACCCATCTGCTGAACACAGGTCCAGCTGTGGCACCACAGCCTTGGGGACACTGTGTGTGTGTGTGTGTGTGTGTGTGCGCGCTGTGCCCATGGAGAGAGGCGAGTGCTGGCCGTGTGTTGAGTCTGAGAGGCCCCGGGAAGTGGGCTTATGAGGAGTGTAAGGAACAAGGGGAAATGGCCTGTGTGTAGGAGAGGGAGTTCTTGCAGTGAGACTGAGAGAAGGTGCATGCAGGATCCCTTCACCGGTCTCCTTGCTGCACGTGTTCGCTTTCCAGACAGCACGGAGTGTTAGGCACACTGCTGGGTGACGGTATAAAGGCTGCACTTCCCATCTGCAGGGAGAGCGTGGTCAGGGGCAGCCACTTGGCCAGCCAGCAGCTGTAGGCTGTTTACTGTGCTCCTCGGATAGGTGAGGAGACTGCAACTCAGAAACCCCAAGCCGTGACTCTGCAGTCCTTGTGCTGAACCGTGACTGCCTCAGGAATATGTCAGAATGAGGGTCATTCAGCCGTTCCCTTGCTGCCCTGGTGCCCACCTGGGGCTGGACCTCAAAACCTTTCCCTGCTTGGCCTTAGCCAGTCTCCTGCTTTGGTCTTGAAAAGGGGGTTATAGGAATTCACAGCTCATGTGAATCATGAATTTAAATTTCGTATGTCATCAACAATGTCTCAGGAGCTAAAAAGCTGTTCTCAGGGTACAGTGGCCCCACCTGTATACACCGTATGGAGAGTTTTATGAAAATTGAGTTTCACTTGGGTGATGAATTTTCCATCTTTTCATACGTCCTTCTTGCCGTGTCCCTCTGGGAAAAAGAGACAGTTCTGAAAGAGAACGTTTCCCAGGTGAACAAAGAACTTTTCGGGAAACTGGGGCCTGTCCCTGGGGCCTGCCAGCAAGGGTCAGATTTCTCACGTGAACTGTATTACAGGAAGATTCTAATGCGCACGCATGTGTTTGTCTTTCCCCAAGCAGATTTCCAGCACAAGTTCACGGTGCAGGCTTCCCCGACTATGGATAAAAGGAAGAGTCTCATCAGCAGCCGCTCCAGCCCTCCTGCAAGCCCCACCATCATTCCTCGCCTTCGAGCCATCCAGTGTGAGACTGTTTCCCAAATTGGTTGGGGCCAGAACACACCAGGGGCACCTGTCCCCTGCTCTGTCCAGCCACCGAACGGTCCAGGCTTGCTCCATCCATAACTTCTGCCACCTCTCCTCGACAATGTGTATACCCATGCACATATGTACGCAAACCCTCTGCCTGCCCCCTTGTCTCTCCACTAGCTCTGCTGCCTCCTCTACCTTTTGCTCTCAGTGAGATATCAGCAAAGGGGGGTGTGGGTGCTGACAGTGGCTTTGAATTACCATGCAGGTTGGGAACTCGGTGTGTGAAGCAGACACAGGTGGGAACCCTGCCTGGGAACCCAGGCCTCCCTGCCATATTTGGGGCATCACCATCTCTTGCCCATGATTGCTAAGGAAGGGCATTTCCTAGGTGTGCATCCTACGCAAACTTCCCAAATGCTTAATTAGGGGCCAAATCTGGACCAACTTTATTTTTACTGCAGTATTTACTTTAAAAAATAGATATATTTTAAAAAACCATGAAGGTACTTCAGAAAGTTAGTGGAAGAATGGAATTAGAATGTAAGTTTATTTTGACAGAAGAAGTTATTGACATCCATGCGTATGAGAGGTCTTCAGAAAGTTTGTGGGAAATGCATATTATGATAAAAACAATACATGGATTTCAAAAATTTTTTGCCGCAGAATAAACTTTTCATTCCATTTTCCATGACCTTTTTGAAGTACCCTTGTATGTACATACATTGTGTATATACATATATATAATATATATAAATGAATGAATTAGTTACCCTAATTTAAAGATAAGGAGATTTCATTTTTTAAGAATCCTAGATTTCTAGCTTCCTTGGGAAATCAAGTCAGATCCGTGAGCTCCCTTTCTCACATGGCCACAGTTGGTAGGAACCGATGGCAGCTGCCACAGGCTCCGGAGTTTTGCCTCCATGCCTTCGACTCCCTGTTTCCTGGTGTGTGGCTCACCTCTTGCATTTATGGTGGAAGCCCAGGGCCTAGGCCTGTGCCTGCCCTGCCCGCTCCTCTTGGCTTTCTCCTCCAGAGCTGTGAACTCCTCACTTCTTCCCCGCCAGCCCTTTCTGCCCGGTTGTGCACTTCCCCATCTTCCTCAGCCCTTGTCTTTTCCCCAGCCACCTTCTCAATCACCAGCCATTCAGTTCCAACGGAACAAGTTCCTGAAGCCAGATCTGTTTGGAACTCTCCTGTCTGGCTGGCTGGGACTCCAGCTTTATGTTGAATTGGTGAAAATGTGCAAGTTCTGTGCATCTAGCACTTCGAGAGAGCGAAATGAGCGGTGGCTGGAAACTGCTGCTTTCCTGCAGGAGAATCTGCTTGGTCTCAGAGATCTCAGTGGGGTCTGACTTCCCTGCAGCTCCGAATGTGTGAGCCTGTGTGTGTGTGTGTGCATGCGCTTGGGTAAAGACTAGTTTTGGGGCCTCATCTGTCCACTTTCCAGATCTATTCAACCTTTGTTATTCACAGTGACACCGGGAGAAAGCAGCAAAACCTGGGGCCGGAGCTCAGTGGTCCCGAAGGAGGAAGGCGAGGAGGAGGAGAAGAGGGCCCCAAAGAAGAAGGGACGGACGTGGGGACCAGGGACGCTTGGTCAGAAGGAACTTGCCTCAGGAGATGAAGGGTAAGAACCAGATGATGTGAAATTCTCTCTCACTTAAAGGTGTGCACAGCATTTGGAAGTAGAACATGGAATACCTTTTCCTTTTGGTATGAGTCTCAGTGCTTTCCGAGGCATTACAGGGCTCACGATCTTACTGCGGCGTTTTCTGTCTCCTTGTTCTCTGGACCTCCTAGCACAGAGATTTCACAAGGCTTTTTGTGTAAAGGGCCACACAGTAAGTGTGTTACGCCATCTGGCTCTGTCACAACTGCTGAGCTGCACAAAACTGTCCTTTGGCACAAAACAGCCTCTGGCCATGGACAAGATGTGATTGGATGAGCGAAGCTGAGTGGTAGGCGGGATGTAGCCCACCAGTTAGTTTGCTGGCCACTAGAGGCGTGCGACTCAGTAGCATGAACCCAAACATTAAGTAGCCTAGAGCGTTCTGCTGAGAGTTCTGTTCGTACCGGCAGGGGTACACAGATGATGGGAAGAGTGAGTGGGACTCAACAGGACTCTGCTGGTTGGAGCCCCGTCCTGAAGCAGGGACCTGAGGAGTAAGCCAGCCTGGCACGTGCGCTTGGCATCACTGCAGAGCGCGAGCACTCCTGTCAGGCCTCCCCCCACAGCCACGCTGAGCAAGGCACAGGGGGCCTTCGTGCCTCAGCTGTGCTGTGCTCCACTTGTGGGTCTGAGGCCTAGGAGCCCTGTGCCCCTCTGAGTCCTGGTTCTTCACAGGTCGGATGCTCAGAGTCCAGGGAAGAGTCTGCCTGGGCCTCGCCCGGGGGTCCTACACTTTCTCATCTGTAAAATGGGGGCAATATTTGGATGTATCTGTTGCAGTTGATGGGAGGATTAAGTTCATCTTTGTGAAGTGCATAGGAGCTTAGCTGACCCCTAGCAAGCACAGATAAACATTAGCTAGGATGATTCTTCCCTGCCTCTTGTTCAGTTCTGTGTCATACAGAGCAATGGCTTAAATATTTATACTTCCTGTTCTTGGTGTTAGAATCTAGAAGTGCTTCTTTTTCTCTTTTTTAAATTTTATTTACTTGAGAGGCAGAGAAATGGAAAAAGAATTCTCATCTGCTGATCATTCCCCAGATGCCCAAAACAACAGGGGCTGGTCCATAGCTGGGAGCCAGGAACACAATCCAGGTCTCCCTTGTGGGTGGCAGGCACAGGAACCTAATCGACTGAGCCATCACTACTGCCTCCCAGGGTCTGCACTATCAGGAAGCTGGAGTCAGGCACTGGAGCTGGGTGCTGATCCTGAGCACTCCGTGTGGGATGCGTGCACTGTGACCAGCATCTTGACTGCTGGCCGTAGCACTCGCCCCTGGCGGTATTCTTGACTTCTCTAAGTCTGACGATGACCAGCAGTCCCCATCATCTTTTTGATGACTCACCAAAGAACTTTTAAGTGGAATAGTTAGACTTATAAATTTTGTGGGAAATGAAATTAAATGATAAATTCATTTTAATGTAAAAATTTTTGAAACCCATACATTCTCATAGATGCCTTGAACATGAAATTGGCTCTGGTAATCCTTGAAATACTAAGATTTTATGTCCAAAATCTAGTTCCTCGTGTCAGATCTGAGTTAAGGGTGAAAATCACTGGCTCATACAGGATTGGCTCTCCAAAGCCAGGTTTCAGAAATCACTAGATACCTTTGAACAGAAATTGTAGCCAGGTAGGCCAGACTGCCCAAGCTGTGTGAGAATTCAGCAGCTGAATCCTTGGGGAAGAGCAGGGTGCCGTGCTCTCCTGAGCTCTGAGCTCTGGCGGAACAGGAACTCCCCACTCTGCCTCAGCCCTGGGATGGAGTAGGGTTGAGCTGGGTTTGCAACACTCACCCTGCATCCTTGTCATTTCTGACGTTGATGTGATTCCAGATAGAGTTCACCAGGCTGTCCTGGGTGCTGGCCACTTCTGTGCTTTTACTTCATTTAAAGACTTTTTTTTAAAAATCTTGGTAGGAAATTAACTTTATTTCACACTACAAAACACTTTTGAAATTTTCTTGTTCCGTACATAGACTTACCTTCACAAACATTTGAAGCCATTCAAAATATGTGACTTCATCTTTCATGGTTCTCACTTCCTATTCAGGAAATAAAAGTGCTTTCCATCTAGTCTTAAGCAAAGAACTCTTTATGTCAGGAATTTTGGGAAACTCCATGTGATAACATTGCTAATTTCAGTCACTGGTTTCTGATGCAAATATGTAATGACAAAAAGCTATCTTGAATTCAAGAACATTAAGTGAACTCGCATCTTCGTCCTTTTGAAAAATAGCAGGTGTATGTAGGAAGCATGCACGCTGGGCTGTTGACAACTTGGGTATCTGCGGCTGCCTGGGGGTGGGTGGGCCCTGGGCCTGGAGCAGCTCTAGCAGGACCACGTTGTTCAGTCTTTCATGATGTGGGCTCTGCCCACCAGGCACAGGAAGGGAGGCTGGCAACACAACCCACGTCCAGCCTTGGGAATTCTGGTGTGGGAGAGGCCGGGTGGGACACAGCTTCCGTCTCCCGCTGCTGATTTTCTCTGTTCATTGAAGATCCCCCCAGAGACGTGAGAAAGCTAATGGTTTAAGTGCCCCATCAGAGTCTCCACATTTCCACTTGGGGTGAGTCCAGTTGTCACCCTTTCACCGACTGTGCTGTAACCATCCCCCATTCCTGTGTTCTCACAGCGTACCTACCCCATAGACCAAGCCTCGGTGCTGCAAGGGCTGAGCTGACTGTTGTTGCCGCCATTGTTTTCAGCAGCGCTGTGCCATCGTGCACTTTGGGAAGATCCCTGTGTCACCCTGACTGTACCTGACTCTTTACTTCCCTGCCGCTCCCATTGCTCGGGTGCTGCTCTCACCCTTACTTTGAGGGAGGAGATACACGATTATTTATCCTTTGGCCTAGACCACTGCTTCTGACTTTGCTATTCTGGGTGTCCTCAGTCAGACCCAGTGCTGGAAGTGACGTGGTAAGATCATCCACTGTGAGTCCCCAGCCGTGGCTTAGCAGCTTGCTTGTCTCTGGTTCTGCATTTTCCGTGAAACCAGCAATACACCTTAACTCGCTGATAACTGGTTCTGAGGTCAGCGGAAAAAGTTGGTCCTTCTCTGTCTGAAGCTGTGCCAGGAGTCTGGGGAGCATAGATTTTAGTTGAAAGCTCTGGTTGTAATCCTAGTGTCTCCAAAACAACCACAGCCCACAAATTCCTCAGTCTCCCTTTTACTGTCTGTAGGGAAGAGACCAGGGCTTCAGAGCCTCTGACTCCCATTCTAAAAGAGGGCTGTTGGGGTATCCGGTCTGTATCTTCAGAAAGTCACTGGATTACAGGGATTTGAACACAACTAGCTCCTGTCCTCTTTCTCTGCACCCCAGAAACTGAGGGCTCCAACCCAGCATCATGTCCCACTCACACACAGATCTGTCCCAAAGTGCACTGGACTGGGGCAGCTTTGTGGGTTGACTTTCTGTGTTTGAAAAGTGGATGGCTTTGAAGGTTGCATAAGCATGCCAGAAGCTTGGGCGGAGCCGCGGAGCTGTGGTGTGAGTGCAGTGGTCTGGTTCATCTCTGTCAGCCTAGCGCCTGCACTCACAGGTCTGTGCACCGCAGGGTTTCTGCCATCACAAGTATGTCATGTTCAGTGCCTGTGGGTTGATCACCCTCCCTCATCATGGGCTCACATGAGACCCCACTGGCTGGGCAGTCCTTGTGTCTCATCTGCCCACCAGGTCCTTTCGCAGTTCCATGGCAGCATGTGAGCAGGGTGGGTCCTTCCACTGCTTTTCTTGCCCTGGAGCGTGTGCACTTCTGTTCATGAAGCAACAGAAGTAAGCTCAGTAAGTGTTGTTGCCTGTGCCCCAAGGCTCTGCAGTGCCATTAAGCAGACAAGGAGAGACATTCCCATAGGCCCAGGCAGCTATGAGAGAGTAAGGTCAAGTGACCAGTTCTGATACTTTCCATGTTTCTTCTTGTCCAGCCTCAGGTCGCTGGTAGACGGATACAAACAGTGGTCGTCCAGTGCCCCCAACCTGGGGAAGGGCCCAAAGGGTAGCCCAGCCCTGCCAGGGTTCACCAGCCTTATGGAGATGGGTAAGCATTGCTCTTGTCTTGGTGCTGTCACTGTTCCCTCAGAAAATTCTTCACCAAACTTCCAGGGCAGTTTAAGGACCCGTAGTACTTCTTAGTTCATACAGCTCCCTTCCATGGGGTCTTTCCAAACCACAGTTTCTTCCCACCCCTGCTGAGGAGCCTGCCCCTGGCCTCCTAGCCCAAGAGCCCAGGAATGATTTCCTGAGGGCAGTGCAGATGGGTAAGGCCCTGACACTCAAACTTCCCTCTTCTGGATCTTTCCTCATACTCCGATGTGGGGAGACTGGAAGGTGGAGGCCGGGTGCATTAGTCCGCTTTCCTTTACTGCAGCTAAAATGACCTGAGAGGAATTTCTCAGGAAGGAAGATTCACAGTCTAAGGTCAAGTGGCCCCATCAGTAATGAGAGTGATGGACGGCCAAACACGTGCAAAGGGCAGGTCATGTAGCAAGCCAAGAAGTGGAGACAGGCTAGGCTGAACTCTGCTCGCTCGTATAACCAACCCTCTGGTGTGACCTCAGTGACCAGAAGACCTCCCACTGGGCACCATAATTAGAATCAAGTGTCCACCCTTAATCTGTTAGCCATTAGCATTAATCTGTTAACTATTAACAGCAAACTTTGGGGATCAAGCCTTCAATAAGTGAGCCAAACTGTTGTCCAACTCTAGTGGTGGTGATGAGAACACTGCAGCCGTCCTCGCAGGAAGCTTTGCAGTGCTGCCTGGTGGTGACTGAATGGTTAAATTTTTCCCTCTGTCTCCCAGTTAATATGAGGGCCCTTCTAAAAGTTTATGGAAAATGGAATTTAAAATAAGTTCATTTTGGTGCAGAAAGCTTTTGAAATCCACGTGTAAGTTTTTCATAATACATTTTCCACGAAGTATTTGAAGATCCCCTCATATTTGTAGCTCTGTAGGTTTCCAAGGTTGTAGTATATAATCTATAGAGTAGGTTGACCTTCATTCGTGTCAGGGAGTCTAACCCTTTGTAAGAGGCGGGTCTGAAGTTGGTAGGCAGCCATTCTCGAAATCAAAAGGCATTGGGAAGGTGCCTGTTTTACGCAATATTCTAGAAAATGATACTGCACTTTGTGTGAAGGGTCCCCATAAAGATGCAGCAAATCAGCAGATCCCTTTCCTGCAAAGAGGGATGTGGGCTCTGGAATGAGAGTGATTTCCCTGTCCTGGTCACAGTTGGGTGTGAGGAGATAAAACCCTATTGCTTCAATGTCCGGCTCCACATCCTGGCCATCAGAGTATTTGACCTTTGCAACCTTGAGCCTGAGTCAGGTGGCCTGGAGTTGGGGGAGAGGACCGGAATCTTACTCTTGCTGCTTCCTCCCTGTTCCCCCGCACTCCTCCCATCTTCGCAGAGGATGAGGACGGCGAAGGCCCAGGGAGCACAGAGAGTCGTCTGCAGCATTCACCCAACCAGTCCTACCTCTGTATCCCGTTTCCTCGAGGTGAGGATGGGGACGGCCCCTCCAGTGATGGAGTCCATGAGGAGCCCACTCCAGTGAACTCGGCCACCAGTACTCCTCAGCTGACGCCAACCAACAGCCTCAAGCGGGGCGGTCCCCCCCACCGCCGCTGTGAGGTGGCCCTGCTCGGCTGCGGGGCTGTGCTTGCGGCCACGGGCCTGGGGTTCGACCTGCTGGAAGCTGGCAAGTGCCAGCTGCTTCCCCCGGAGGAGCCTGAGCCACCAGCCCGGGAAGAGAAGAAGAGGCGCGAGGGGCTTTTCCAGAGGGCCAGCCGCCCTCGTCGGAGCACCAGTCCCCCGTCCCGAAAGCTCTTCAAGAAGGAGGAGCCCATGCTGTTGCTGGGGGACCCCTCGGCCTCCCTGACACTGCTCTCGCTCTCCTCCATCTCGGAGTGCAACTCCACCCGCTCCCTGCTGCGCTCGGACAGCGATGAGATCGTGGTGTATGAGATGCCTGTCAGCCCGGCCGAGGCCCCGCCCCGGACTCCCTGCACCCACAACCCCCTGGTCAACGTCCGAGTGGAGCGCTTCAAGCGAGACCCTCACCAGTCCCTAACTCCCACCCACGTCACCCTCACAGCCCCCGCACAGCCAAGCAGTCACCGGCGGACTCCTTCCGATGGGGCCCTTAAGCCAGAGGATCTCCTAGCCAGCAGGAGCCCTTCCAGCAATGGCTTGAGCCCCAGCCCTGGGACAGGTGAGTCCTGCTCTCCTCCTGGAGCGGAGACATTTGCAGGTACCTGGGTTCCTCTTTCCACTTGGGGATTCGAGTGGGACTCCATTTCTTCTTGAACTCAGGCAGTCAAGAAGTACTGGTCTGGGATTGGGGTGGTCTGAGCCGGCTGACTCCTGCTGCCCTGAGGACTGCTTCCCTGAGGCAGGCAGGTTGCAAGAAAAGCCAGACCCTGGCTCTCATGGGATGTGCAGGTCCTGGGCTTCAGGGTGTGGGGGCAGGGGGCAGGGGGGCTTCAGAGGACAGGAAGGGCAGGAGCCCAGCTTCCGGTTATTCCCCAGGGAGGGTGCCTCAGGGAACAGGAAGGATTCCTGCACTGCACATAGCTGGGCTCACATTCCAGCCGTTAGTTCAGACATGTTCATAAGATGAGCTTCCGCCCATGCATCACAGCCTTTAGCGCTCAGCCCTGACTCACACCGGCCCCAGTAGACCTGGAGCGGCTTCCAGGTGAACTGCGGCCCATCTGTGCATGTGGCCTTCACTGTCTAACACTGGACACACATGCTCTCATCCTGGGTCTTTCCTCCCACCATGCCGTGCTTCTCAGAAGACAGATTCTGACTTAGAGATGGCCGCTAGTCCATCAGAGGCACATGACAGTCCCTTCCAGAGAGATGTCAGCACCATTCAGCCTGCTGGCTGGCCCCTTGTTAGAGCCAGAGGTGTGACCTTTTGGGGAGCAGACATCCTCTGTTCCTCCCCTTTACACTCTGGGACTCAGCTCCATTCCTGTCACGTGTGTGTGAAATGGATGAACAGTAAAGGAACGGCACTCCCTTAAGTCAGGAGTCTGCAGACTTCTTGGTAAAGGGCCAGGCAGTGTTGCTGGCTGTGTGGGCCTTACAGGTCCCACTGAGACTGCTCAGCGCAGACGTGGCTGTTTTCCAAAAAGACTTTACAAACAAGTGGCCAGCTTGTTCATCATTTGCCAACATCTACCTTCAGTTGTTTCATGACAAATGTGGCCCCATTTCTGTAACTGGGTACAGGGCCCATGACCTTCCAGCCCACTGATGTATACCCACGGCCTCCCATCACGCCACATGGCAGGTACTTGGTGCTCAGTGCATGTTTGCTTGTTTGTTAACCACGTACAGAGTATCTGGCAGGGCTGGGAGGCAGCAGTCTACTGCCTGGCCCAGAAATAATGGTGCCTCTTCCTTTGTCTCCTTGGCCAGGAATGTTGAAAACCCCCAGTCCCAGCCGAGACCCGGGTGAATTCCCCCGTCTCCCCGACCCCAGTGTGGTCTTCCCCCCGACCCCGAGGCGCTGGAGCTCACAGCAGGACTCTACCTTGGAGAGACCCAAGACTCTGGACTTTCTGCCCAGGCCACGTCCTTCCGCCAACCGGCAGCGGCTGGACCCCTGGTGGTTCGTGTCCCCCAGCCACGCGCGCAGCGCCTCCCCAGCCAACAGCTCGAGCACAGAGACGCCCAGCAACCTGGACTCCTGCTTTGCTAGCAGCAGCAGCACTGTGGAGGAGAGGCCCGGACTGCCAGCCCTGCTCCCATTCCAGGCAGGGCCGCTGCCTGCCGCCGAGCGGACACTTCTGGACTTGGACGCAGAGGGGCAGAGTCAGGACAGCACCGTGCCACTGTGCAGAGCTGAGCTGAGTACTCACAGGCCTGCCCCTTATGAGATCCAGCAGGAGTTCTGGTCTTAGCATGACAAAGGTCAGGGGTAGGCAAGGGGGAAGCGGGAGGAGGTTGGGAGAGGGCGCTGGAGGAAGTAGGGGGAGCTGGCTGGCACAGCCCTTTCTTAGAGTTGGAAACCCCTGAGATCCAGCCCTGCTTCTTGCACTGATAATGCACTTTGAAGATGGAAGGGATGGAAAGAGGGCCACTTCAGAGGGTCTCCTGCCCTGTAGGGCCTTTCTGTCCATGTCTATCATAGGGACTGTGGACATGAGCTCTGGCTGTGTAGGGGAGGGAAGGTGCCTGCATATCCTCCGCCCTCCACAGTCTTCCTCGCCTTGAGGGTGACTCTGAAGAGTCACTCAGCCAAATCCGTCTGCTCTTCCCTCTCCTGATCAGTCGGGGATGCCCAGAGCTGTCCAGGAGCCCCTCGGTTAGCCCTGAGTCCAGCCTTCCCAGACTGCAGTGTTGGACGCTCTGTGATCTCGCTCCTTTCACACTCTCCTCCAGCACCCGTGACTCGGAATCTCATCTGATGGGAGATGCGTGCTCTCCTGTGTCCTTTTCCTGCCAGCTGGAAGGCTGAAGGCAAGATGGCTTAGTACGAGGGCATACAGGGTGATACCCCTGGCACTACCTACCAGCACTTCCAGGTGCCCCACTTGTGTATTTGACCCCACAGGCAGTAAGGGCAGCTGCCCCAGTGAGAGCTACAGGGAGGGGGGAGCTAGGAAAGATAGAGTCGAGGGGCCGGGAAGAGGGCAGCAGAGTCTGTCCTTGTTCCTTTGGGAGACATTCTAGAGCAGAAACCAGCACCTGTTGAGGTACCCCTCTACCCACCTGGGGTCAGAACGTGAGCAGACCAGGTGCTGATACAAACATATGCTCATCCCAGGAATAGTTTCTTGGGAGGCTCACTGGTGCCAGTCTGCAGTCAGAGACAAAGTCCCTGTATTTACCCTTTTGTCGTCTGATCTCTGTGTTTCATCCCATCCCCTTGGCCTTCCCTCCCATCTTGGAATGAGTGGGCTTTGAGTTATGTGTGTGGTGAGTAGAGAGCTCTGCAGTGTACCAGAGTAACCTGTGAGGGTGGGCCCTGGGCACTGGCAGTTGGGACTTTGAGGGACTTCTTAGCCAGTATAGTAGAGCGACCACTGTTCTGAGTGCTCAGTGAGCCAGTGGTGGGCACTAACCTCCAGGTCCCCAGTTTCCTAGTTGGGAACTGACCGAGGCTAGAGGCCCCTAGTGCTGGGCTCTGGGCCATGAACTGGGTAGAAAGGACCACAGAGGCCAACTCTGACTTTTCTGGAATTTGTTTCCTTTACTTGAATGTAGAGCAGCTTGCCCACATCCATCTTCATGCTTCCGTTTACCTGGAGGTCTTCTGTGTTAGGTGCAAACAGTCACCTTTGTGTGGGAATAATAAATAACGTGGTTGGGAATAGAGTCCTTAGGTCATGTCCCTGTCCCTCACTGTTGCTCCATTGTCTTACCGTGGAGTATCTCCCTGGGTTACTGGAGCTCAGTTCAGAGTGGGGAGAGTGGTGGAGCTGGCATAGGTGATAGATTTGGCTTCTGCTCTTTCCCTGTCACTGTGGTAGAAGCCCTGCCCTGGGGGTGACTGAAAGGGTGACCTTGGTATTCAGGTTGTCCCTTGCTTCATTCCTTAGCCCGCCACACCCCCCACGCCCCGTGTTCTCTAGCGCATCTCAGCTCTCTCCTCTTGGAAGCCAATACACAAGAGATTATTTTTGCCTCCATACTTCTTTTCATAGGTTAGAAGAGGGAAGAGTGAGTTTTATCAGCAGCTCCAGCCAGCCAAGTGAGTCCTCTTCCGGAGGATCTAAGTTCATAAATGGTCTGCACTGTGCCCTTCCCTGAGCCCCCAAAATCCCAGTCCCTAAGCCACCAACTCCTCTTACATGCTCTTGGCTCCACAACATGGCCCTCTGGTAGGGCACAGCCTAAAGCATAATCCAAATCATGCTGGCTCTAGACCATGTTCTGTGGTAGGAGGTAGGGGTTTTTCCTCTACTTGGTGTTTGTTTGTTTGTTTGTTTTCATTTTCTGCATTTTGATAGGTTGCAGCCATCTTTCTTAGGGAGATATAACTGACAGGGTGTATATGGGATGATGGCAACGTGATACCAAGCAGGAGGTGGCCCCCAGTTCTTAGCCACCCAGGGAAAGGGTAAGGCAGGGCTAGGGCTCTGCTGAGGAATTAATTGTACCTGAAAGACGCCAAAGAAGGGTCATTTCCAAAGATGCTGCCGTGAGCATCCACAAAGCCCGCCCTCAGCCCCTGCGAGCCGAGCCTTTGGCGGGCCCCTGCCTGCCACATTGCCTCTGGGGCAGGGCAGGAGACAGGATAAGCCTCTGCAGAGCGGAAGGTCTGAGTGGTCTCCTGTAGACTTGTGTTCCCTAAAGCTGTGTTTGAAGCCTCTTGAGCAGAAGTAGCTGGAGCTTCCCTTGTCCCTTGCCTTCTCTCTGCTTGGAGACGCCTCCCTTCTGCCCCTGGCAAGTGTTCACCACGTGGAAGGTGGGGAAGGGAACAGATCCCGTCTCCTTGGGTCCTTCAGCTCCTACTGCTGATAGTCAACATGGAATCCAGGCCACTGCCAGAAGGTATCCTCGTGTTATTTGTAACCAAGAGGCTTTGGTGGCTGCTCTTAGCTTGGCATCTGTTGGCATCTGCCTAGGGTTCGGCAGCAGTGATGTTAATCACAGCCATGATGAACTGGGCTTACACAGCTCAGGCCAGTGCCGGCTTTCCTCCTCACCTTCACAGAAGGACACCGTTTTCCTTCTGTGTTGGGCCATACTTGGTGGAGAAGGAGGAATGCTGGAAGAGGAAGATTCCAGTGCAGAGAAATTGGAAAGCTGTTGGGATGACTGCTGAGCTGGGCCAGCAGGCGCTGAGCCCCGGGAGCTCTGTTTCCCAGGCTGCCTTTGCCGCATGACCTTAGGCTTGTCTCTTGGCCTCTCTCAGATTTCCTACCTTTAAAAGCCCTGTCACATGCTTCCCTCACAAGGGCAGTGGGAGAATGTGTCGGAGAAGGTCCCTGAAGCAGCCCTGGCTCCTCGCCAGCTCCTAGAGGACATGTCCTCTGTCCCCACAGGATGAATTGCTAGAGCTGACGGTATGGTGCTTGCCACCCATGCCTCGGGGGCTCGCCTGTTCTTTCACCCTGTGGCCTCTGGGAAAGGAGTGACTGGAGCTGGCTCAGCGTGACTAATGAGCCCTGGGGCCTGGCACATGCTCTTTCACCGCATTACACAGCACCTGGTCATGACAAGCATCCTTTCCCCCCACCCCCCACCTAGCCTGGCGGGCTGGCCGGCCCCACCATGTGTGTCTTAGGAATTGGGAGGTTGGTGGCAGCTTCAGAGTGACAGTTATCTGCAGAGCCTGGAATCAGACCAGTTTCTGGAAGAATCTTCGCAACAGGGTCCCCATGGGGCATGTGTCGTGGTGCTGGGTCCTTACATAATCCCCTTTTCCCCAGGCCACCATTGCTCAGAGACACGGGGAGGCACCCCTTGGACATCATTCCTGACCTTTGGTCCACACTGTTGCCTCCACAGCGGCCACACTGGAGGTCCCTTCCCTGCTCCTCCCCCATGTGGAGAAGACACCTCCTGAGCCATCCTGATTCTTTAAAGCAGACAGCAGTAGGTGGCAGGGCTGGGCACGGTACACTCCAGGGCTGAGCTGTGTGTCCAGCCCGCCCCTCTGTGAATGCAGAACCTTGACCTCTTCACCAAGTCTTCTTGGAGCCTGTGCCTTGGAGTCAGGTGTGTGAGGGCCTGGTCTGGAGCTCAGAAACATTCTTTGCATCTTGAAGGAGCTGGGGGAAGAAGCAGGTGCTGGGCTTCTCCTGAGGGCTCTGGGGAATGTGGGGCAGAGGTGAGAGCAGCCAGCAGTGCATTACAGCCGGTTAAGGCACCACAGGGGCAGGAACCTGGTGATCTGAGCTGTCTGTCCACAGGCATGTGAGTGCCAACATCTGCCTGTGTCTCTGGACCCTACCTGTGGACTGGGGATGGCATGCCTTTCCCCAAAGCCTCTCACCTTGCTGGACGGCCTCCCCAACGGAGGACAGTGTGTGGGGGACGGCTGCATGGCCGAGGGTCAGCAGCCGTCCATGTCAGCCGTTCCCTGTGATTTGGCGGAATCCACCACCCGCCCCTCCCTCAGGCAGAGATGACTTAGGAACGCATCGCCAGCTGCCCGTCTTCTTTCTGGCAAATCAGCCTTTTCCTCGGAGAGGAATCCAAATAAATCAAAGTCTGCATATGAAATGGTAACCCGCTGCTGCTTCTGGGGAGCCTTCAGGCTCCCGGCTTCCCCCGGGCAGTGCTGCCTGGGCGCTCACCACCTCTGGGCACTGGTGTTGGAAGGCAGGAGATGGGAGCTGATTAAGGCCAGTTAACAAGTGCCTGATTAGCCTGGGCTCCTGAGTTTCTCATGGCCTCCCTCTCCTGATGGGGATGAGGCCCACCCCCTCCTTTACCCATTTACCACCTGGGCCTCCCCATGCTGCTGAGAGGCTGAATAGGCCTGGTTCCTCTGACCCTTGGTGCCCGTGCTCCCTGCGTCCTCTGTGTGCAGCCTGCTTTGGGCACTGAGCTGGAAAGAGAGCCCCAGGGTATCTCCACACCTCTTTTTGTTTCCCTTGGAAACAGCCCTGCCTTGCCCCGACCCATCTCTCTGACTGATCTGACCTGCCTCCCAGCAAGCACCCCCACCTGGATTTACTTGACTGAGCAGCAGGCAGGGGCCAGGGCAGGACACTGGAGTACAGCTCGAGGGCTTCAGGCCTTTCCTGCTGGCACGTGTGCAGTGGACATCCAGGAATTCTGAACCCAGAGGCAGAATGGTTTTGGGGAGTCCTGGCAAGTGACAGGTGTCCGAGGCAGTATGTTGCCCACACCCAGACACCTGCTACACAGAGCCCGACTTCACTTGGAATGTGGATACTATGTGTATCATGGATTCTTTTCATTCTGATTTGTTAAAATACTGCATTGATACATGACTTACCTTGATTATTGAATGTTTGGGGTGCCTGTGAAGTTGGGCATCCAAGGCGAGTGCCTCACCTGCCCGCACCCTGCTCTGCCTGCCCCTCACCTGGACCTGTGAATGGGACTTAGGTTTCACTGTGAAGTAGGTTTTCTGTTTTCTAGAAGCCCGTCTGCCCGGGCCTGAGTGGGACGGTAGCTCTCCAGAAGTGTCAGGCTCAAATAGCACGACTGAAGACAGGTGGCGTCTGGGGTTTTTATTTGGGGCCTGTAACTAAGGGTGTCCTCCAGCTGCCTTGCAGCCCCCTTTTTGGACATGGACCAGGGAGCTTCAGAAGATTCATGGAATTAAAAGATAAGTCTATTTTGCAAAAATAAGTCCTTTTTTTTGGGCAAAAATTGGGAGAACCCATGCATGGTTTTCTCATCATCTGCCTTTCCCGTGAGCTTTTAGGAGACCCTTCGTGGGAGCTCTGGGTGAAAGGAAGTGGCCATGGCAAGTCCAGTTCTCCCATCTTCAACCCCTTTGGAATACGCATGCATCCCGGGAGGTGTAACCAGGCCTCATTCATCCTCCCTGCCAGATTTCACAAGGGCGGAAGTGAGTGGAGGCGTTTTCACTCCCTCACACGCCAAGAGAAGGGTTGCCCACCTCTGTGGCTGCAAAATATTGCCCATCACACTTCCACCAGGAGCGTTTTCCTGCTGCCTATCATTCTGTCGTCTTGACCTCACTCTGATCATTCGTCTCCCGAAGCCATGCTGGCCATGGCCAATCTCTTCTTTGTCACCAGAGGAAGGCAAGGGTTTATCCTGGCCCAGGCACAGGGACTAATATTAACTAAGAAATATGGATTTCTTCTGTGTGAGAGGCTCTGTCCTAGGGATTTATGTACATGTGAGGTCACTTCAAAAAGCCCATGAAAAATGAAGCTAAAGAATACGTTTATTTTGCTGCAAAAAAAAAATTTTTAAATAAGTTCATGAAAGTGCATATGTTGAAAAAACTATGCTTGGGGCTGGCACTGTGGCTCACTAGGCTGATCCTCCACCTGCGGCACCGGCACACCGGGTTCTAGTCCCGGTTGGGGCGCCGGATTCTGTTCCGGTTGCTCCTCTTCCAGTCCAGCTCTCTGCTGTGGCCCAGGAGGGCAGTGGAGGATGGCCCAAGTGCTTGGGCCCTGCACCCACATGGGAGACCAGGAGGAAGCACCTGGCTCTGGCTTCAGATCAGCGCAGCACACCAGCCGTAGCAACCATTTCGGGGGTGAACCAATGAAGGAAGACCTTTCTCTCTGTCTCTCCTTCTCTCACTGTCTAACTCTGCCTGTCAAGAAAAAAGAAAAAAAGAAAAAAAAAAAAAAAGAAGAAGAAAAAAAGAAAAAACTATGCATGGATTTCAAAAGAATTTTACATCAAAATAAACTTTATTCTATTTTTAAATGTTTATTTTTATTTATCTGAATGGCACAGTTGATGGAGAAAGAGTTTTCCATCTGCTGATTCACTTCCTAAATGCCCAAAATAGCCAGGGCTGGGCCAGACTGAAGTCAGGAGCCCAGAACTCCATCTGGGTCTCCCACGTGGGTGTCAGGGACCCAAGTACTTGAGCCATCATCTGTTGTCTCCCAGGGTACATTTGCAAAAGGCTGGATCAAAAGCAGAGGAGTCAGGAATCGGTGGAACACTTTGAAAACGAATGCTGGTACATTGCAAGCAGCAGCTTAACCCATTGTACCACACTGCCCACCTCTTTTAATTCCATTTCTCCATGAACTTTTTGAAGTACCCTCATAGATCTTTTGACTCCTTGCAGTATCATCCCCATCCAGGGCTGTGGAAGCTGAGGCAGCGTGGCTGTGTGCACTGCCCAGGTCACACAGCCCGGAAGCTAGTTACCGCTCTGCTGGGTTCCAGAGTCCCTCGTCTCCCTCTGAGCATGTTTCTAGACCACTGCTCAGAAGCCCTGAAATGCAGCTGGCAGGGGTTCGCTCCACCCGGGGCTTGAAGGTGTCGATCCCGTGGCTCCGTGTGCAGTCCACCGTTTCCCCGCGACTGCTCTTCACAACAGCTTCCCCATGCTGTGTGCCCTGTGCATCGAGCTTGGAAGCCTTTACTGTAGCTCCTGTGCCCTCGGGACCTTGAAACTGGACGTTAGCCTTTGTGTCGTATTGAGCCACAGGCCCTTGGCTCCCAGCTGTAGCAGAGAAGGGAGGACATGAACTTGTTAACTCTCTCCTCTGATTCCCCTCACCAACCATCCTGCACAGTCACCCACAGCCACACACACCCCACCCAGGTACCTCCTAGGCCAAGACTGCATCTTTTAGAGCCCTGAGGAAAGGAGTTGGAGATGGATTTTGCTGAGTTTAAGAAGATCTTTGGGATTTCCACCCCATTAGGACCTTAAGGTCCAGGTGGAGTTTGCCTGTGTGTGCGTTCAGCCCCTCTGTAGTTAGCAATGGTTTTCACCCCTGTTTACTCTGGTGTCTTGTCCCTGTGTCCTCGCCCTGCGTCCTTGAATTCCCATGTTGCCTTGGGATTTAAGTTATTGTATGTTGTCAACAATATTTAAAGATGGAAAAGTCCTGAAGGAAACTCATCAGGTTCTTCCCTTTGCTTTTTGTTTTTCTTTCGAGGTACTGTAAATTGTTAACTAGGGATGCCAAGCAGGCTTGGTTCAATGGCTTAAACCTCTTACTGTATTACAGTGTAATGCTGATCTCAGCCTGGTCCCAACGCCAGAGCACACAGAGACTTGAATAAAACTGTTACCACAATTACGTCTGGTTTGCTGTGGTCCTTTCCCTCCTTTTCTTTTTGGTTGAACTTGATGTCCAAGAAACTGGATTGTTTTCAGGAAATGTTCATATGTAAGAAAAAAAATTTTCATATGGGGCTGGGGCTGGGGCCTAGCAGGTGAAGCTGCACCAGCAGTGCCAGCATCCCATATAGTCGCTGCTTCCAGTCCCGGCTGCTCCACTTCCACTCCAGCTCTCTGCTATGGCCTGGGAAAGCAGTGGAAGATGGTCCAGGTCCTTGGGCCCCTGCATCTGCGTGGGGGACCCAGAAGAAGCTCCTGGCTTCTGGCTTCTCGCTTTGAATCAGCTCAGCTCCAGTGGTCTCGGTCATTAGGAGAGTGAACCATCGGGTGGAAGACTCTCTGCCTCTGCCTCTCTATAACTCTTCCTTTCAAGTAAATAAATAAATCTTTTAAAAAAAGGACTAAAGACAAAAAGAAAGCCTATGGAGAGAAATAGGAATGCTGTGGGACAGAGGAGGATCGTCCCAGAGTCCCCCCGGGCCACAGGAGTGCTTGTGGACAGTGCCTGCCAGGTGATTCTCTCTCTCATAATTGACTTTCTGTGATACAGGCCATGGAGTTTGCTTTCAGAGCCACTCATGAATGGAGGATGCCTCCTGCCACTGTCCACCTGACATGTGGAGACAAGATTTGCCACTGGATTCCTGGTAGCTATAGTACTCTTAGATTTATTTATTTGAACGAGTGACAGAGAAGGAAAGACAGAGGTCTTCCATACTCTCCAAATAGCCACTGTAACCGGGACTGGGCCGGGCTGGAGTCTTCCACATGGATGGAAGGGGCCTAAGAACTTGGCCCATCCTCTGCTGTTTTCCCAGGTGCGCTGGCAGGGACTGGGTCAGAAGCAGAGCAGCCAGGATTTGAACAAGCACTCCGATATGGGATGTCAGCATTGCAGGCAGCAGATTAACCTGCGGTGTCACCATGCTGGGCCCTGCTCTTTCTTTCTCAGCTGTGTGACCCTGGGCAACCACTTAACCTCTCTGGTCTGCTTCTGGAACAAACAGATCGCAAAGCAGGTATGAGTTCACAGGTAGACCGTGTCTTGTACCACTTGAGTTCTGTCTCATTGACATGTGGATAAAAGGCTTCTGAACTTGGAATTCAGACACGCCCGTGTTGTGATGCCGCAGCCTTTCACTCCTGATCTCTTTGCCCTTCTGATGTTCTGTGACGGATGCTTGGACTGTCAGGGGAGGTTGGACCCTTTGCTGAAATCTGTCCTGGGTCCGGGTAACCTTTGTAAAACAGACTGGGCAAGGGGCCGGCACTGTGGCGTAGTAGGCTGAGCCTCTGCCTGTGGCGTTGGCATCTCACGAACACCAGTTCGTGTCCTGGCAGCTGCTCCTCCCATCCAGCTCTCTGCTTATGGCCTGGGAAAGCAGTGGAAGATGGCCCAAGTGCTTGGGCTCTTGGACCTACATGGGAGACCCGGAAGAAGCTCCTGGCTTCAGATCAGCTCAGCCCTGGCTGTTGTAGCCATTTAGGAAATGAACCAGCAGATGGAAGATCTCTGTCTCTCCCTCTCTCTCTAACTCTGCCTCTCAAATAAATAAATCAAATCTTAAAAAAATCAGTCTGGGCAAAGGTGAAAATTTGAACCCTTTGCTGGTGCCGTGTGGAAAGGTGTCGTGTGCTGTTTGCAGGCACACAGATCGTTGTGTTTCTGGAAAGCCGGTTGGCAGTACAGTATCGAGGATAACATGTGCCCTGTGATTCTTTGTTATCTCATTTCCAGTCTCTCAACATCCTTAGGGGTAGGTCCCGTTATTAACCTCATTTTACCTCGAAGAAGATGAGAGTCAGGGAGTCCACCTGCCCAAGGCCACACAGCTAACAGTGGAGCTGGGATTTGTCTGATTTAGCATGTGCATTTGTGAGGTTGATTTACAAGTCCTCAAGTGGTGAGTTTCTTGGTGTGCCTGCCCCTCTTCCCTGCCCAACCCAGAACCCGAGAAAGTGGGAGCCTGGAGACTCCCGTTGCGAGGGAGAAACACTGACTGCGTGGCCACACGATGCAGCTTACCCTCTGCCTGTGGGCAGGGCCCTCACCGAGGACCTCCTGTGCACCCAGTACGGGCTGCAGCCACACACTCCAAGCTCACTGAGGCAGCACTCTGGTTCCCAGGCACCGTGTGGTCTGGTGGGAAAGACCAAAAATGAAAGACATCTGTTTAATATGATGGAGGCGTTGTGATGACAGGGTGCTAAGGAAGCACTGTGGATGGGGTTGGCCTGAGCTAGGCTGGCTGACTTCACGGGAATGTGCCGAGTTGAGTCCTAAAGGAAGGGAGCATTCAATGGCGTGAAACAACGCAGTGGCCCTGTCCTATCAGCCACTCCCGCAGGGGAGCTGTCGTAGCACAGCTGCCGCATACTGCAGTGCTGGTCCAGGTGCTTCCCTACTAAGCAGGGGATGATGGCTTAAAGACTCAAATTCCTGCCACCCACGTGGGAGGCCAGATTGGAGTCTGGCTCCTGGTTTTGGCCTGTTCTAGCCCTGACTGTTATGGCCATTTGGGATGTGAACCAGCAGATGGGAAATCTCTCTGTGCAACTCTGCCTTTCAAATGGTTTTATCATCAACCATATGAGCAATTATGTCGCCCTTAGAATCAGATTATGCAAGAATAAGGAAGGAAATGGAATACTCATGATAACTTAAAAGGCAAGATACAAAAATGAAAAACATTTAACCCCAATTATATGTTCAAAATATATTTCCATTTTTTAAAAGCTACACAATTGATATGCATAAAACTACCATAGATGATTCCAAAATGTTATGGAATTTTTTAAACTTTTTTTTTTTTTTTACAATGAACAGAGTAATTTGATTTTCAGCAAAACAATGACAAAGTAGCTTGGGGAGACAGTCTTAAGACAATGGGCCACTGACAATCTAGCATCTTGCTAGATTGACTCTACAGCCCTCCAGTCACCAGGGCCAGCTTCCCAGTCCTGATGGGACTTCCCTCCCCGCAGTGGAGAGATGATGCTAGGATGACCAATCTGCAGGCTTCAAGTCGAAGCTGGTGAGGACGGAGAGCAGAGCATGTTCTCCGAGCAGAGGAGCCGTGGCGATCTCCTGGGGGCACAGCTGCTTAGGATCCTCGTGGCCAGAACCTGAGGGCAGAGTACCAGCACGCAGCTCACCAAGAGAGGAGCCGGGCTGGGCCTCGGTTCTGCACACCCTGTCCCTGGAATGTGCTTTGTTCAAGGCTGGGGCTGAGGTCCTAATCCGCTGAGCCCTGTGCTCCCCACCCCATCAAGTCCAACTGACTCAAGTGGGAGAACATGTTTGGCCCAGGGAGAGGGGTGGAGGCGAAGTGTGGGCGTCTGCTGCTCCTCCTCTCCGACGCTGGCCACACTGCTGCATCCAGCCAGGAGGGCCTCGTGCGTGGTCTCTGGGAGGCTCAGGACACTGCTCTGTGATCAGGGGCAAAGGTGAAGGGAGAGCAGAGACCATGTGCGTTGAGTGCAGGTGTGATTGGCACTCCATATCATCTGCAGGAAAAGGTGCACACGTTCCGTTCCTACACTCCTATTACAATCTCCCTGCCTCCAGCCCACGCCCCTCCCTCGCTAACACCGTGCCGGTCTCTGCTTCCTGTAAGACTTGATTTTCCAGGCATGGAGGACTCTTTGACAGGTCAGAGTAGTAGCCTCCTTAGGAGCAGATTTTCCGGCTACCTACTTGGGTGTCAGACTACAATATAAATGGTCAGGTTTGCAGGAAGGGGACATGGGAGGGTTGGGCACGAGCCAAAGGGAAAGAAAGGCAGAAACAGAGCAGATTCTGCCCTGTGGAAGGCAACATTCTCTGCAGTGAGACCAGATACGCCGGGAGGCCATGAAGAAGTGTGCGAGTGGCTGGCGCTGCGGCTCAATAGGCTAATTTTCCTTCTAGTCCTGGTTGGGGAGCCGGATTCTGTCCCGGTTGCTCCTCTTCCAGTCCAGCTCTCTGCTGTGTCCCGGGAGTGCAGTGGAGGATGGCCCAGGTCCTTGTGTAAAGGCAAATTAAATAATGTGTCTAAATGTAAACTCTTGTATACTCAGCATGTTAAATTTGTGTTAAAAATGTTATAGAAATGTGCATTTGGTAAGGAAGGTTAAAAGGAAAGAGTTATTTTGAATAAAGAAAGGACAAGGTTTGTAAGATTGACTTCATCCTGATGGCTAGTTTACTCTAGACTGGAATGGAAATGATGGAATGTTTCAAGTAAGTTGAAGAGGGTGTGTGGAAGTCACAGAAGGTTACGAAAGAAATCTTGGATATTGGGCTGGCGCCGCAGCTCACTAGGCTAATCCTCCACCTAGCGGCGGCGGCACACCGGGTTCTAGTCCCGGTTGGGGCGCCGGATTCTGTCCCGGTTGCCCCTCTTCCAGGCCAGCTCTCTGCTGTGGCCAGGGAGTGCAGTGGAGGATGGCCCAAGTGCTTGGGCCCTGCACCCACATGGGAGACCAGGAGAAGCACCTGGTTCCCGGCTTCGGATTGGCGCAGCGCACCGGCCGCAATGCGCTGGCCGTAGCAGCCACTTGGGGGTGAACCAACGGAAAAAGGAAGACCTTTCTCTCTGTCTCTCTCTCTCTCTCTCACTGTCTAACTCTGCCTGTTAAAAAAAGAAGAAGTGTGTGAGGCAGCCCCAGGAGCCCTGCAGGTGGAAGCAGTCCTGAGGGCCAAGGTGAATGAGGGTGGCTGGTTGAAGGACACTGACTCACATCCTGTCCTGCGCTTCACCCAAGCTGGAAAGAGAAGACTCCTCCCTCTGATCCTCTCCTGAACATTCCCCAAGGGCGTGCAGGGGGTGGGGGTGGGGTGCAGCTCGTCCAGAAATCCCGCATCTGCTTGGGGCTGGACGCATCACACTCATGACGGTGAGGTGCGTGGGGACTGGGGGAGTGGACACAGTCACTAAAAGCCTTCACCTGAAGACTGCTGCCTATGGGCATGTCACG